GGATCAGCCATGATCTTATTGAATGGCGGAACAGGCTCGAAGGGCCAGACGGCCTACTCCTGCTCCTAGTTCTTGTGTTCAATGACCTCCCTCAATCATAAGGTCAAGTGGGGATGTTCACTGATGACTGCACAATGTTCAGCACCATTTCAGACTCCTCTGATACAGAAACAATCCGTGTTCAAATGCAACAAGATCTGGACAATATCCAGGCTTGGGCTGACGAGTGGCAAGTAACATTTGCGCCACACAAATGACCATCACCAATCGGAGACAATCTAACCACCACCCCTTGACATTCAATAGTGTTACTATCACTGAATCCCCTACTGTCAATGTCCTGGCGGTTATCATTTGACCAGAAACTCAACTGCACTCACCAGAAAACATAGTGGCTACAAGAGCTGGTCAGAGGCTAGGAATACTGTGGTGAGTAACTCCCCAAAGCCAGTCCACTGTCTACAAGGCACAAGCCAGGAGTGTGATGGAATACTCCCCACTTGCCTGGATGGATGCAGCTCCAACAACACTCAAGAAGCTGGACACCATCTGGGTCAAAGCAGCCCGCTTGATTGGCACTACAGTACAAGCATCCCCTCCCTCCACCACTGATGCGCAGTAGCAGCAATGTGTATCATTCACAAATGCACTGCAGAAATTCACCAAAGATCCTTGGCACCTTACGAACCCACGACCGCTCCCATTTAGAAGGGAAAGGACAGCAGATGCATGGGAGCACCACCCCTCCAAGTTTATACTTCAAATTATTTTCAGTGTTGTTAATTTTGCATCAGCAAACTTGACAATTCATTAGCAAGGGTAAGATTTCACAAATAGCAAATGAATCTAGCTTGGTGGTCGTGTTGTTTGCTGAATGTTCATTCGGGCACTGGGGCATCTGTGAATTTTGGCATGGGATTTTTTTTTTATTTGCATGAATGGATGGTGCTTTGGTTTAAGATAGTTCCTCCAAGAGTGCAGCAGTTCCTCAATATTATCTTAACCTCCAGTGTCTGGAGTGAGGCTTAAACTCACTTTATGCAGTTTGAAAGTAATCTGAAGGCAGATAAAAGCTGATTACACTTGGCATTGACGCAATTTACAAATGCTATTTTTATCCCGTGATAACTGTGTGCTGGAAGGAATCCTAATTTGCTTCTCAGTTGGAGCCGGTGTAGAGATTTTTTTTAAAGTTTGATATAGAATGTACCCAGGAACAAACGATTCATCCTCGTTTGTCCATGCAGGTGTTTGTGCCTCATCCCAGCAGTGTACCTTTTTCTGTCTGTTCTTTTCTTGCTCATTTGTTTCTCTAACTTTCCCTTAATTGTATCAATGCAATTCACCATAACTTTTTTTTTGTGTGGTGGTGCATTCCACTTTGCAGCAGCCATTCTCTGGATAAAGAGGTCTCTCTTGTACTCAGTATTGAATTCATTAGTGGCCATGTTCACAGACACAGATGCACACAGACATGTGCTTGCACACCGCGCCCCCGCCCCAACACACACACACACACACACACACCCCCACGCCCCCCCCCCCCCCGCAGCTTCTCTGCTTTACTGCCTTAGAAAGACAAACATGAGTAAAATCTTAAATGTATCTATGCTGCATTACAATATAGCATGTTCTCTTTCTACCAAGATCGCTTTTTGTTTGTTTATTTGGGATGGGGTGAGGTGAGGAATGAAAGGTGGAAAATTAATTTATAGCATGCTCTCAGTTACTCCATTCCTACCTCATTTATAAATTTGGTTTCCTGCCCTGTCTTTTCCTGGAGTTGCCACTTAGGTATGAATGAATTGGCTAACTCCAGTTGATTCTGTGTCAGGGAGAGGTTCTTGTTGTGTTTACGAGGGCTGGCTTCCTTCTTCCTTGACGCACTGTTATTTTCTCCTTTTTCTATGAACTTTTGAGGTGGGACCATTGGAAAACATGGAGAAGGTCATGTTAGCAATGTCTACCTAAGAAAAAAAGGAAAATTTTGTCCCTAAGCTGTATCCTCTTATTGCTTAATATGTGAAAAGTGCTGTTTCGACTTCAATAAGATCAGTTATTGTGCAGATAAGAACGGCAACCCTTCTTTGCACACACGTAACAATGAGATGAATGTTGGCTGAAATCCCATAAGATCTTTCATGTTGTCTTGCTTCTCTTGGAACAGGCAAGTCAAACCTGAACATCTCGCCTGCAGAGCAACAATGTTACATTGCAGTGACAGCCTGGATAATACACTTGAATCATGGAATGTGATTTTAACCCACAGCTTTCTGACTCTTGGGTAACTGTCCAGTCACTGAAACAAACTGATGCTGGCAGGACTGTCAAATTGGACCACGCTGGGATAGGTTACACTTACATTGTCTTCAAATGTTGGCCTGTTTCAATCTCCAAATTATAATTTTGGAATCTGAATCCTTCCAGGTGTCTAATATCTTGTATCAATACGTATATCAAACCATTGTTAATAATGTCCGGGAGCGTCGAATGATGCCAGGCCTATAAAGGGTTAAATTATTAGAGGTCACATAAACTTGGCTTCTACATCCCTGAGTGTAGTAGATTGAAGCGTGATCAGATTTTAATAAGATTCAAAAAATTAGATATTATGAAATAATTCCTCTGGAAAATCAAGAACACAAAATATAATTTAAAATTTTGAGTTGAGTCATTTAGATGTGAAATCTGGAAGCCTTTTGAAGCTCCTCCAAAAGATTCTGCATACTGGAGAGTTGATTGAAGACATTCAAAACGTGATAGTGTTTATTGGTACTGAGGAATATCAACCAAGTGTGACTAAACGGAGTAAAGATACATGGTTTTATTGAATGGTAAAATAGGCTTGGGGGTGAATGATGTACTCCTGTTCTGATATGTGAAATGCTTTGAAGCTTTTTGACATCTTACACTTAAAACATTGAGTCAATAAAACTAAAAGGTTAAAGAAATGTATCTAATGTTATTTCATATCTGTCAGCTGGATATGAGTGATCAGCAAACTCATTAACCCCAAAGGATAACCATTTGCTTTGTGCTGAATTTGCTGTGTTCAGTGTTCTGTTGCAGAGGTGTCATAGCAATCAGGTCTTCATTTGTAGCTGGTGACCTAGAGATAGGCCCAGTATATCATTATGAAATTAATTGAGTATTTGGCCTGGGGCCCAGTTTCCGGAGGGTGAAAAGTTTTTAATGGGTAGAGAGTCAACTACACTTCTGTTTGCCTAACTCTCTGCATGGATTGAAACCAGACCTTGATTCGGACTCTACATGACGACAAGGTTTTGGTGTTTGAGTTGTTTTCCAGCGTCCTGATTTTTTTTTCTTTTTTTTTTGCTTTGTAGTCTTTTGTTCTCTGTCTGCATCACACAAACCAGCCTTCCATCCATCAACTTTGCCTATACTTTCCCAAGATGGGAAAATAGCCAACGTAATCAAAGACCCCTCCGACCCTGGATATGCTCTCTCTTCTACCCGTTGGGCAGACGGTACAAAAATTTGAAAACCCATACAGATTCAATAACAGCTTCTTCCCCACCGTTATCAGACTTTGAATAGGCCTTTCATCTATTAAAATTGATCTTTCACTGTACCTTCTCTCATTGTAACACTGTTTTGCATTCTGTTCTATTACCTGATGTACTTGCATAAGATATGATTTGCCTGGATAGTGCACACAACAACACTTTTCACTGTATCTCCGTACATGTGACTATAATAAGTCACATCAAATCAAAATTTGACCTCTCTAAAAGCTGCTAGTTCTAAACACGGAAACAATTCTACGAGAACTAGGCGACAGCAACGACTTGCGTTAACATAGCAGTTAACCTGGGAAAACCTCGAGTTACTTCACGGGGGCATCTCAGACAGCAGTTGAAACTGAGGCACATTTTAGTGAGGTAGGCGGTGATGGGCGCGTGAAGGTTGGAGAGGTATTGAAAGGAAATGCACACACCATTGATCTTGGTCTCCTTCAGAATCCAGGCATGCATATTGCCCAAATCCTTGGATGTAAGCATGACAAATCTTGTTTCTTTTCTCTCTATTCCCAAAGTGAGAACTGAAAATGTTTATCTCGGCCCTGAGTAAAGTCTTCACAGTCCAGGCAATGAAGGCAAATTTCTCCTGAGCTATTTTGTTAAGTTAACATGATTGAGATGATATAGCACAATGGATGCTATTTGGTGGCTCATCACGTCTGTTCCAGCTCTTTCAAAGGGCAGTACATTTTGAGTTCTATTCATCATCTGTTTTTCTTTTTCCCCATATCCATGCAATATGTTCCCCCTCTACTCAAACTTCCATTTTGACTCTTGAACCTATGTTATTATTGGACAAATTCCGAACACACATTAACAACATGTTGTGTAAAAATGTTTTTCTGCTACTGGAAACCATTTCTCTTTATTTACGGTATCTAAACACTTGTGTCAAATCTCCCTTTACCTTCTTCAAAGGCAAGCAACCCCAGTTTCTCCAGCCTTCCCATGTAACTGTAATTCTTCATCTGTGAAACCATTCTTATAAATCTCTTCTTTACACCATTCCTAAAGTGTTCCCAGAATTCAACGTACTGCCCCACCTCTGGCCAAGCTAATTTAGTTGTTGATTTAGTTTCAGGATAATTTCTTGGCTTCTATCATTTCATGCTTTTGTGTGTAAAGCCAACTTTGCTAACAGAGCAGTTAAAAAACATATTTGGCTACTGTCACAAATCTATGCACCAAAACCCCCAGATCTGTTTTATAACATCGTACCGTTTATTTTATATTATTTCTCCCTACCAAAATGGCCCCGGTCTTTTCTGTGTTGAATTTCATCAGCCTGCCTCTGTGTCCTCGTAAAATCTGTTACTGTTTTCCTTATTTACACTACTTAAAACATTTTTTTGCGCTGTTCTCTACACTGTGAATAGGATTATTTTCTCTGAAGATAGACTTTGGCTGGGATGACTGGCTAACTGTTAATCTTTGTCAAACCTGTTTCTTTTTGGGCAGGAACAAGTCAAGATGACGTATGTTTCATCCGTGGTACGATTTGTGGATTACAGTAATTCAAGCACGACGGTGCATGAGAATTCAACCGTGCCCATAGGTACCAGCACTGCAGCTCCGATGCCATGGTGGACCTCCACGGCAGCTGCTGGCACAGCAACCAATGTTACCCAACCAAACCAATGCCTCGTTGTGCTATATGAGGATATTGGTAAATCACGGTAAAGTTTTTAACCAGCCTTCCCTTTTATATGTTGACTGGAGTTGATTCAAGTGGTAGAAGGCTATGAGGAAATGTCAAGGGTGGAAACTGGAGTGGGATTAATTAGGAAGCTGTTGCCTGTTAAGCAATTTGGGGATATGTTGGGAAAATGGACTTGATGTTGAAAATCCAAGAGAAGAGTAGACTAAGCCATGCAGTGTATTCTGCTGTTTGATGTTCTTACTGTTCTTTTGGCTAACAAGGTCATGGGGAAATTTAGCCCGTTAGTGAGCACCACGCAACGACTCTTAAATTTCATGCGTGTTACAAGATCGGGATGGATTCAGCTGTGTAAGGGTTGGTATGTTTAGTTTATTAAATAAATTAAGCACTTTTTCTTTTAAACACAAATTCTTATTTGTGTAGCACCATGCTTGAGCATCGGACTTTGCCAAGTGCTTTACAGCTGCTGAATTACTTCTGAAGTTTTTTTTATTCATTTCCAGGATGAGGGCTAGGTCAGTATTTATTGCCTAGAGGGCAGTTAAGGGTCAACCACATTAGGGAACCTACATGTGACTCCAGACCCACAAAGGACATCAGTGAACCAGATGGGTTTCTCTGACAATTGACAATGTATTCATGGTAGTCATTAGACTCTTGTGTATTTTTTTTTTGTATATTGAACTCAAATTCTATCGTGTGCCATGATGGGAATTGAACCTGGATGTCTGGACTAACATTTCAGAGATAATACAGTAGGCCATTGCCTCCCGTTTATACCGTTGTCATTTGAGAAACATGGCAGCCAAGTTTTTGTTTTGCTAAACAAGCTCCCACAAACAGTGTTGTGGTAATGACCAGAATAGCATCTTTTCTCGTGTTTGTTGGTCAATGGCTAAATACTGCTAAGACACAAAGGAGAACTTCTCTGCTCTTCAAAATAGTACCATGTAGGTTATCAGAGGCAGATTATTTCTTGCAAAAATAGTACCTGTGTCACTGAAGCACTCCCTAAGTGCTGCCTTGGAACATCAGCCTGGTTTGTGTAGAATTTAAAAAGTTGATCAGCTAGAGTACAGTTGGATTGAATTAGTTTAAAATGCTTCAGAGAGGCACAACAATGGATTTCTCAGTGGTGAGAAGTGCAGAGGGCCTTTCTTCATGGTGTTTGTCCAACTGATGTGGGTTATACTGGCAAGGCCAGCATTTATTATAGAACTGTACAATGGTTACAGCACAGAGGAGACCATTTGCTCCAAAGAAACAACCTGAGGTTTACCAGCCTCACTTCATAACTTAACTAAACTGCTTCATCCCAGGCAATACCCTGTTGAATCTCCTCTGCATGCCCTCTAGTGCAATCACATCCTTCCCACATTAAATAGATCAACACACACTACTCCAACTGTGGCCTAACCAAAGTTGTGAACAGCTCGAACATAAACCTCCCTGCTCTTTTAATCTATACCACGACTGAGAAAGGCAAATGTCCCTTTTTAATTCCCCTGTTAACCTGTCATGCCACCTTTTGGGGATCTGTGGACAGGCACCTCAAGATTGCTGTGTTCCTCTCGGCTTCCTAGTGTCTGCCATCATTAAGTATTCCCTTGTCTTGTTACTTCCTCCAAAGTGTATCACCTCACACTTAGCAGGATTAGTTTTCATGTACCACTGATCTAACCATCTGACCAATCTGTCCATATCCTCCTGTAACCCAAGACCTGCTTCCTTACTGTCAACCAACTGGCCAATATTCATGTCGTCCGCAAGCTAACTTATCATATTCTGCACCCACATTCTCCCCTATGTTTTTTTTCTTCTACATATATATATCACACACAATAAGGGACTCCAGCGATCCCTCGGTACACCAGCCTCCAGGCCCACAAAGAGCCTCTACTGCCACCCTGTGTCTCCTACCCTAAGTTGATTTTGGCTCCAACTTGCCAAGTCACCCTGAATCCCATTCCCCTTCCTGTTCCCAGTAATCCTGCAGACATGTCCTTTTTAGATAACCATTCAAATCCTTATGAAGGCCTCAGCTGACCCTATTTTTACCACACGCTCAGGCAATGGAATTGAGATACTTACCCATTGCTGTGTGACAAAAACATTTTCCTCATGCCGTTGCTACTTTTTATTGCCAAATATCTAAAATCTGGTACTGTCTGGTCTCAATCCTTCTACCAATGGGAATATTTTCTCCCTTTTACTCTGTTCGGATCCCTCTTGATTTTGAATACTTCCAGCAAATCTCTCCATCCCCTCTTCTACAAGTAAAATAGTCCCAATTTCTCCAATCATTTTTACATAACAGAAGTTCCTAATCTCTTGTCCTCTGTTACCATTCCCATGAATGTGTTTTGTGCCCCCTCATACCTTTTACAATCTTCCTGAAGTGTGATGCCCAGAACTAGGGGCAATACTCCAATTGAGACTACACCAGTTTTGTTGTAACTTTCTTGCTTTTGCACTCTCTCTGCCCCTACTAATAAAGCTTATAATACTGTATGTATTATTTACTGTTCCTCAACCTGTTTAGCCGTCTTCAATGATTAATGGAATGATATATTTTGTTTTGTGTGTGTATATATAAACATACCCCTGTTCCTGCACTCCCTTTAGAATTGTACTATTTTTGATATTATCTGTCCATGTTCTTCCTGACAAAATGAATCACTTCATACTTCTCCACCCTAATATTTACCTGTCACTTGCCCACCCGTTCTATAATTAACCTGCACTTTCCAATTCACTGTTAATTTTGTCTTAATTTTTTTTCCTGCTACTGAAGTTAAACTGATCGGCCTGTAGTTGCAGGACTTATCTTTATGTCCATTATTGAAATGAGTGTAGCATTTGCATTTCTCCAGTCCTCTGGCACCATTCCTAAGTTTAAGGATTTCGGTATTGTTTTAGTATTAATTCCTGGTTCCCAAACCTCTGCTAATTTATTTATTTTTTTTTTTACTGGAAAGAAAACTTAGTGTGCATCAGCTTGGACTACGTTAGATATGAGTTGGAGAAAGGGCAAAGACTTGATGCTTCGTGCTGTTGAATTAGGAAGAAAAAATGGGAAGTTAAATATGCTTTCACTTAACTTGGAAATGCAGACTTTGAAAAAATTCTGTCGGGGACTTTCCAGAACAGCATTACTAAAATTTAAATGGCACTTCCTTGGGCTTTTTGAAAGTTTTGCTGTCGATCTTTTATTAGAGGTTCTGGCTGTGTTAGTTAGTTGGGTGATGGGTATGTGGTAATTGGGGAGTAGGATTGGAGATCAAAGCCTAAAGAACTGCTTGATGAGTTTGCTTACTTATCCAGCCAGCCCATGGAACTGAGAGGTCAAGAAAGGTTAAACTACTGTCAGTAATGAATTTGTGGCATTAGTTAGTAACCTGCCATATAGAACATTGCGTATTCCACCAGAAACTTAGTACACCAATTTATTTGGCTTATGGATTGGTGTACTATCAGTGTTGCTGTGGCATGTGAAAATCCAATCCCGATGGATATTGTTACCTTGAATGTGTTTCTCTGGGAGAATAAGATTAGTTTTTGATTGCATCCTGTTTGGAGTAGTACATATCATTCAATTAGTTCATGGAAGTTAGCTTCCTCACCTCCTCCTAAACATGTTTGGGCAGCACTTATCAATCCAAGCTCATTGGTTTTCTTCTGTGTAATATCCGTTCATTTTTGTGCTTTTAGTTATATGTTGTCACGAGCTGAGCCTGTAGTTCATTAAGTAGGAACTGTTGAAATAGTTATGATGGAGTGAGACTATTTTGTGTTAAGTTGTGTGCAATTACCACATTCTCAGGAACATTTGTTTAAGGAATCCAATGCAATATTTTTCCTGTATTTAACAAAGTAAGTTAGCCTTCAAAATTTAACAGTTTGATTATTCTACAACTTTTGAAGTTAATGCCTGTAGTAGTGTTATGTTTTTATTTCCTTTTATGGATGTTGACAACTCATAGATGATAGAATCCCTGCAGTGTGGAAACAAGACCTTCGGCCCAACAAGTCTGCACCGAACCTCAAAGTATCCCAACCAGACCCCCAGTAACCCACCTAATCTACACATCCCTGAACGTGCAATTTAGCACAGCCAATCCACCTAGTATGCACATCTTTAGACTGTGGTAGGAAACCGGAGCACCCGGAGGAAACCCACACAGACACAGGGAGAATGTGCAAACTCCACACAGACAGTCGCCTGGGGGTGGAATTGAAGCCGGGTCCCTGGCACTGTGAGGCGGCAGTGCTAATCACTGAGCCACCGTGCCGCCCAGCTGTTAAATAACAATAAATAACAACTGTTATTTATTGAGTAGTTGAACTTAGTAAAGAATAGCTAGTGACCATTCAATATTTATTTCCCACCCTATTTGGGGACAGGTGATGGCCTAGTGGTATTATCGCTGGACTGTTAATCCAGAGACCCAGATAACATGCTGGGGACCTCGGTTCAAATCCTGCCATGGCAGATGGTGGAATTTGATGTAAATAAATATCCTGGAATTAAGAGCCTAATGATGACCGTGAATCCATTGTTGATTGGAAAAACCCATCTGGTCACTAATGTCCTTTTTAGGGAAGGAAGCTGCCATCCTTACCTCGTCTGGCCTACATGTGACTCCAGACACACAGCAATGTGGTTGACTCGTAATTGCCTTCAGGACAATTAGCTAGCGAATGAATGAATAAAGAAGAAAAAATTCTAATTGCATTTTTGAGTGGACTCCAGGATGTTGGAGAAAAATTAAAGAAATAAAACGTTATTGGTTACAGAGAATCAAAGTGAGTACTCCAGCATGGAGAACATTCCGAGTGTAATACACTTAAAAAAACATATTAGTGTAGCTGTGAACTGAATGATGAGCAATGGCTTTAACCACTGAACAAGCTGACTCTGTTATATTTTAGAAGCTTTGCGCAGTTGGTTGCAGGACTATTATGAGTAGTGGACAGAAGCTGGATATGCTCCTGGAAACATAGAAAATAGGAGCA